GGCCCTGCGCCTTTCACTACCATATTTACTGTATTATGGCACTTTTCATATTTCTTTGCATGTCTAAGCCCATCTCTATTACTTGATACATCCTTCCTCTCACTCCCATTTTTGGAAAGGGAATTAAAGAGGGGAAAAGGGATTATATCAATTCTATATGTGTGTATATATATGTATACGTATGTCTTTTTTTTCCTGCTTCAAAAAAACACCTACCCTGCCATCAGAGATACTCTGAGGAGCATTTGCTTTGACCTTGCCAGGGAAATGATAGATTAGAAGTAAAGGAGAGGCTCCTGCTGGTCACTGGCTGAGGTTGAGGAAGAGGACTCTTATTCCACGCTTGCTCACTGTTCATTGCCCAGAATTTCTTTCCATCTCCCTTTCTTATTCTTCTCCCAACCCAGTGGATCTCGAACCTTATGGGGCAGACCGCATCATCACAGAGTATTAGAGCTAGAAGGAAGCTTAGCAGTCTTTTAGTCAAATCTGCTTTACAGATGAGGAAACTGAGAGCCAGGGAAGTAAAGTGTGTGAAACCCAAGATCATGTTGCTTATAATTGGAAGAGTCTAGGTTTGATTGCAGGGTGGCTTAGGAGACTCCCATGCCACCGTTCTTTCTGTCCTCTCTACCTTCTTCTAGTGATTTTTGAGTATGACCACTGCTTGCTCCTGAAGATGAGGGTTCTTAACCTTTTCTTTTTACCATGGTCTCTTTTAATAGTCTGGTGAAGCCAATTTTTTAAAACATCATAATAGAAGAAAATGCTAAATTTTGGCTACAGGTTAGTGAAGATAAAGATGCATTTTCCTCCCATCTAAACTAAGCTCATAGATGTATGATCTGTCCAGATCAAGAACCCCTGCTCTAGATTGACTCTGAGCCCTAGTGCTGAAATTTAAAATGAATGGAAATCTTGAATGAAAATACCAAGCAAGTTGTGCTCTAGAAATTTAGCCTTGTCTTCCTGTTTTCCTCTGAAAAACATGATGAAAGTATTGTCAGAGCTTTTAAAGAACTTAGCAAATGGCTGGGCGAAGTGAGAAGTATTAGAACTATATTCTAATTTCCTTTGTTACTATTCTTTAGTAAATGAAGGTAATAATCTCAAAGATGAATCAAAATTTAAAAACTAACCAGAAACCAGTTGTTTTATTACCCATCCTCAACCCCCTATTATAGAAAAAAAATAAAGGCAATTTTTGTAAGTAAACATGGCCCCATTAGAAATAATAAGCCAAGTTTTCCTGTGATGAAATTCCAAAAGTCTAGTAAATATTGACAAGCTGAAAAGAATCCAGAGGAAGGGGACCAGGATGGGGAGGTAACTAAATCAATACCAGTGAGAAACTAATAGTTGAAGGAATCAAGGATGTTTAGCTCAGAGAAGATTTAGGGAAAATCTTAACTGCTTTAAGTGTGAAGGGCTGACATAGGAGATGGGGATTAGGTTAGTTTTGTTTTACCCAGAAGGCAAACTAGGGAGAAGTTACAGAGAAGGTAGATTGCATCTTGATGTAAAAAAGGAAAAAAGAAATCCTAATAATTAGCTACCAAAAAGAGGAAAGTGAGAGAGGGATGGATGAATGGAATAAGCATTTATTAATCATCTACTATGTGCCAGGCATTTTGCTAAGTACTTTGCAAATATTATCTTCTTTTTCATAGCAACCCTGAGAGGTATGTGCTGTTATTATTCCCATTTTACAGTTGAGGAAATGGAAGCAAAGGTAAGTAACTCGCCCAGGGTCACACTGCTAGGATGTGTCTGGGACCAGATCTGAACTCAAGTCTTCCTGACTCCAGGCCCAATTCTCTGTCTACTCTGCCACCGCTACCCATTCCATAATGGAATCTCCATCACCAGAGGTGAAACAAAGTCTGTAAGACTATTTGTTCGGTATGTTGTAAAGTGACTGTCTCTGTAGGCTGTTCTCATGTTCTTTAGATCCTTGAGTTCTTAGGTCTCAAGTTCCTTACAGTGATGAGACTACGATTCTATACCCTGTCCACTGTTGATCAGCTGAGTAAACAGAGAAAGATGAGCTCCCTCCTTTTCTTTTTTTTTAGGCAGACGATAAAACTCATCTACTCCCTCCTATCAATAGGGATTCATAGAGGGGAATGAAAGGGGACATTCAGGGAAGGAGGCAGGACTAGAATAGGCTGTCTGAAAAAGAAACTGGGGCACACACTCAACAAGGGAAGGGAGGCCGGCCGGGATCGATTAACAAAGCCAAGGGAGTGGGGAAGAAAACTGCCCCAGTGTTGTCTTAGTGGTGAAGTGAGTCTTGGGAGCACAATAAAAAAGGGACAGGGTGATTCGGGACCTAGTTGACAACAAGGCAGCCCAGGTCAGGCAGCTGTCCCCATCTTAGAGAGGTGATAGAAGTTGACATCATATGAAGAAGCAAGTTTATTCGTCATCATAGAAATGGAAACCTGCTACCACAATTTGGGTGCGTTATTGGAATCTCTCTCCTAAACCTCTCCTGGCACCTTATCTTTAGGCTCTCACACCCACACACCCTCTCCTGAATTTCATTATGATCAAGTTTCTTTGCCCCTCACCTGGTAGCTATTACAGCTTAAATTGGGAAGCCAAGTAATATTCTAAACCATTATTACAACAGAGAGCAGAATGAATTACTCTGTCCCATGACTATTACAGTGGACTACTTACAGAGGAGCTATCATGCATAATCTTTAGTCAAGCTTATGTATTACCTCTATTTTGGGTGACTTTTCCTATAGGATAGCCCCATCACCACCCCATCACCTCTAATGTATTTGATAGCAAAAATCTTCACACAGAATCCAGGAATTGGCAGCTTCTGTGTTTTAATATTGGAGCAGCTAGGTGGCACAGTGGATAGAGTTCCAGGCTTAGATTCAGGAAGATTCCTCTTCCTGAGTTCAAATCCGGCCTCCAATGCTTATTAGCTATGTGACCCTGAGCAAGTTAATTAACCCTGTTTGCCTCAGTTTCCTCATCTGTAAAATGAGCTGGAAAAGGACATGGCAAACCACTACAATATCTTTCCCAAGAAAACCCCAAATGTCATCAAGAGTCAGACAGTATTATTAGATATATTTGCAAACAGATCATACAAATAGCATGAGAATATTTTTTAGTGTTTTGGGTTGTAGGGTTTTTTCGATTGGGAGGCAGGGTTGAGGAAAGCAGAGTAGTCCTATTTTTCAAAATGTCCTGTCCACCCAAAGAGCTGTAGTCCCCAGAAAAATGCAAAGATATTCTTTGCTGTAATTAATTTCATGCCAAGATCTTAATTTAAAAAAAATTTGCAACTCCTAAAAACTGAAACTTAAAGGATGATATAACTTTCCTTCTGCAGTGCTTCTTGTTGAATAACCAAGGTCAGCTGATGGTATTGACAGAGTCTATGATAAGGGGGATACCAATGGAAGGTCTTGCTTGCCCCAAAATAGCTCTCTAGCCCCCCCAAAACCTATGCCCTTAGCAATACTTCCAGTCTGGCCTGTAATGTGAGGGTTGGAGAAGCAAGACTAGAACATTGTCTCTAAAAGGTTACTGTTAAGATATCCGCCATGGAGGGAAGGCCCTCTAGACTTTTCCAATTAGCACATTAATGACAACAAGTAATTAGGTTAGTTAATTGATACCTTGTCAACACAGAGAACAGACTGGAGGGATGGGCTTTAGTCAGAGGGGCAAAATTTGGTGCATGAAAGTAGGAAAAGGCTGAATGGAGATGTGACCAGAGAGCTGGACTTGGAACCAGGAATCTATGTGACCCTGAGAGAGTGACTTAACATCTCTGAGCCTGAACTTCCTCATCTATAAAATGGGAATAATAATAGCACCAACTTTATGGGACTGTTGTGAGAACCCAAATGGATACATATACATATACATGTATATGTATATGTGTATGTATATTCCTATATATCATCAATATATATTTAATGGGGCAATTATATATAATGATATATCCATATATGTTATACATGTGTAATATATTTTATATATGTGTATCTAAAATGTGTTTTGCAAACCCTAAAGAATTATGTAAATGCTATCTAGCTATTAAGAAAAATTTGAGGTTACAATAGAGAAGGGAAAGAAAGGCATAAGGGCATTTGCAGAATGAATGGAACTAGATTTAGAAAAAAAAGGTCACCAGAAGAGAAGTTGAACAGTAGGATGGAGATATCTATAAAGAGCTATTTCTATGTCTTTATATATCTAAATATATCTCTATATCTATGTATCTATTTACACACCAAGCTGGTTAGAGTAGATTTGTAGATTTCAAAAAGAGAGTAAAGGAAGACTTCCTTAGATTATAGATAGATAGTTAGATTATATCTTGGGCATAAGATTTTAAAGTGTGTTGAATGTCTACCTGGGAATCTGGATTTTGTCTTATGTATTAGAGCTTCCATCCTCTTCTTCCCTCCTCATTGCCTGTATGAAGGTTATGAAGGTTTAGAGAGAAATTGGAGGTGGGGGAGAGGGAAATTAAGTGGACAGTCTTGAAAGGTATTACCCTGCAGTTGGGGCTACACCAAATCCAGATGTTGGGAATAAGGCCATAATTGACTCCTTATAACAGGAAGTTCTCCTTAAATTAGGTATGAAGAAGGGAAGAGAAGATGAAACCAGAATTAAAAACAAGGATGGGTTGCCAGACTTACTGCATAAATCGCTATTTTGAACAGTGTTAGCCTAGATATAATAATTCCATGTATCCTTTAATTTCCCAATAATGGTGAGTAATTGTAGGATATGACAAAACAAAACAATGACAAATATTTTTTCTCAGATATTATTTTTTCCAAGTTTATTTTTCTAAGGATTGCATATCAAACTTTATACAGGAAAAATGCAGATGAGATAAAGAGCAACATAATTCGCTCCATTTAACCAGTTCAAGTTATACAGTCAAATTTGATTATTTTACAACTCCAAAGTTAAACACTCACATCACTTATTGTGACGTATTTCTTTTCTAGAGCCACAGTAGGACAGAACCATATACCATTTTGATCTGGGTGCATTTCTTCAGAAGGTATGCTCTGCTCTTTGGGGACTCTATATATTTAATGGGGCTTATTAGACCAGAGGATTGAAAACACGTCATTGTTCTTTAAAATATCATTCTTTATAATTCTTCTTTATTGTTCCATATTATAATTCTTCTGTTTTATTCTTTAAAATATACTTTAAAAACCCAGGCAGCTAGGTGGCACAGTGGATAGAGCACTGGCTCTGGAGTCAGGAGGATCTGAGTTCAAATGTAGCCTCAGACACTTACTAGTTGTGTGATCCTGGGCATATTGGTTGCCCCAATTGCCTCCACCCCCCCCCAAAAACCAAAAATGACAAAAACCTGGATGGGACTAGTAAACATAGAACAGTGGACCTGAAACAACCTCAGTATTCTTTGCCCTTTCTTTTCCTTTCCTGCTAAGTTTTCAACACCATTTATGTCTGGAGAATCTATGTTAAGATGACTGTGGCTTGTTGGTTAAAGGAGCAATGGGTGGAGAGGGAGACGGTAGTCCAGGGAAAACTGGGCAAGACATCTCAAACTGGCAAGTCCACTCAAATTACCCTGTAAGAACTTTTTTAGCAATGTCTGTAGGATCAGGCCAGCAGGAAATGTTGCTGGGAACAGTGAGTCATCTTACCTTGTTTGTGTTAGGAAACTCAGCAAGTACTTAAGCTTGCTCTTATCAAAATCCACCCCTATTTAAGGAGTCTTTTCCTTCCTAGTCCATCTTATCTCAGCTCCTGAATGCCTACTGTTCCCAAGATGTCCAATATGGTCACTGATACAATGTCCATTGATAAAGAGCTGGAAGGGGCATCAGAGGTCACCTTGTTGAACCCCCTCATATTACAAATGAGGAAACTGAGGCAGAAAGGTTAAGCAATTTAGGGTCACACAGCTAATAAGCAGCTGAGACAGGATTTGAATTCAGTTTTTCCTTTTGTCTATGCTGCTTGTTATACAGAGGACCCTCTGTAAGTGGCTCGTTGCTTATTGACACTCTAAGGGGAAGCTAGGTGGCATAGTGGATAGAGCACCAGCCCTGAAGTCAGGAGGACCTGAGTTCAAATCCGGTCTCTGACCAAATACTTGACACTTACTAGCTGTTTGACTCTGGGCAAGTCACTAAAAAAAAAAAATGATAGCTTATTGACACTCTAGAGAGGCAAGAATTATGACCGTTCTTATTTTCAACAAGGGAAAAGCTAACTTTATGTTGTTGCCTAAATTTGAAGCCAAGTGAAGGATATGATAACATGGCAGAATAATGAAGAGGATTTGTAGGTTCAAATGAAGACATTGCCTCTTGGTACCTGTTTGACTTTGGGTGAGTCATCTAACTGGTTCTTAGGTTCCTCATCCACAAAATGACTCTCTTTAAGTATACTCTCTTTCTCCTCCCCGTCTATCTCCTCTGCCCTAATCAGATGACATTTGGAATGTCATCTTCAATTCTGGACAACACATTTTAGGAAGTGTTGGCAAAATGGCAACTGGACTTGAAATCAAATCCTAAAATGATGGGTTGAAGGAAACTGGGGATATTTAGCTTGGAGAAAAGAAAATTTGGGGTGGAGCAGGCTCACATTTGAAGACATGCCACATGGAACAGAGATCTGACTTATTTTGGTTGGCCCAAAGAAGACTATCCACTAAGAGCAACATGTAGGGGCAGCTAGGTGGTAAAGTAGATAGAGAACCAGCCCTGGATTCAGGAGGACCTGAGTTCAAATCTGGCCTCAGACACATAACAATCACTAGCTGTGTGACTCTGGGCAAGTCACTTAACCCTAACTGCCTCACCAAAAAAAAAAAAAAAGAGCAATACGTATAGAAGTTAGACCACTTTTGGTTTGGTCCAGTGAACTAATCAACACAGAGTCACAGGCAAATCCACTTGGACATTGCTGTATTGGGAGTTTCATCAGTATCCTTCCATGGCTCATCACCTAATTAACTAGTTTTATCTCTAGTATATTTTAAAATTCTTACTCCCTGGCTTTTCACTGAATTCTACTCAAACAATTCTTTAACTGAATCACATCTAACCAGGCTTCTGCCACAACCCTCAACACTAGGTTGCAATTTTAGAATTTCACAGTGGTCTCACCAAAGTGACAAAGATAGATGCTAACCTATGCCTTATCCCTCATTCCTCCTTACCGGACCTAGTTCAGTTTTGCTTCTGAATTTTAGAAATAGACAGAGTAAAATTGGAGAACACAATTCAATTCTTAAGGAAAAGCTAGCTGTGGTTCACTCAGGATTGGTTGAACCCCATTCCCCCCAGAGTTGGGTCGATGTCAGGACATATCGAAAGAACCAGAAAGAGCCATTTTTCTTGACCTGCTTTAAAGCAGCTCTGTGTTGGGGCTAATCTTTCAACACTGAAGTTCATTACTGGATAGCTTTATGCAGGTGTGTGATAGAACCATGGTGGTAGACCTGTCATGGGACATTTTAAGGAAAGATTGTGAACCCCTATGTCTCTACACTGCCATCTTGTGGTATCTCTACACCTGAAATGAAGTAAGCCAACTTGTCCTTTTTTCCTGGTTACTACTTATTATACATTCTTCTAAATATTCACTCCTTCACCATGCTCCTCTTCTTCATTCATATTTGAAACTAGCATTATTCGTGATGTTATCCCCCCATATGTATTAGCTCTCCTAAAGCCTTACGTGTGACAAAGCCCTTCCTAACCCCAGGTAGATGTGGAATGTCATGGCATTAGCTCTCTAATTTTATAAATATCCTCATTATATTTCCTATTCTACATATAAAGTGGTTTAAAAAGAGAAACTTTATTTGATATTCTAGGTATCAATGAATTTTTAAATTTATGAACTTTTCCAAAAATGATAGTACCTTATACTTAGATACTTGAATGTTTCCTGAATTGAATTGAATTGATTCATTGAATTGTCAAGCTAAGATATCATATATCAGAGGGAACAGGGTTGACTTGATCATACACAATCAGCTATTATATTCTGTGTCTCCCCCACCCTTTGACATTTGCTCACTGATTGACATGTACTTAGACTGAGGGTTCTATTTCCAAAAGCCAATGATTTAATAAAACATGCCTTACTTGCTAAGGCCTTGCAATTAATTTTGTTATCAGGAAAATAATAGCTAATAATACTAATAGCTAGAATTTATATAGTGCTTTATGAAGTGTTCTAAATGTTAATTTAGGGCTTAGGGTACTACAAAAGAAATAAATTATATAAATACTAGGTTAAATAGAAAGACAAATGCAAGGGGGTGTTTTGCATTGCCTCACTATCAAAGCAGATCAATGACTTTCAGTCCAGTAGTTTTCAAATGTGAACTATACTGTTCTGAGGCAAGTTACTAGGTATTTACTGAAAGCCTACTACGTGCCAGGCACTGTTATAAGTTCCACTTCAGCCTTTTTAGTGGGCAGCATCAGAGACTGTCTTTGAACCCCTCTTAAGTCTAGTGACTTCTATTAATTATTTGCTATATATCCTGTATGTAGCTTGCCTTGTATATATTTCTTTCAATGTTGTCTCTCTGATTAGATTGTAAGCTCCTTGAGAGGTAGGATGGCTTTTGTCTTTTTATTCCCAGCACTTATCACATAATAAATGTTTATTGATAGATTGATTGAAGTTGTCACGAGGAAACTTCATATTGAATTGAGCTATGGATTTGATTTTCTAAAGGAAGAGATCTAAGCTAAAACCAGGAGGATCTGAGATCAGAATGGCAAACCATAATTTTATGAAAAAGTCAGTGAATAAGCATTTTTTTTCTAGCACGTACCATGTGCCAGGCAGTGTGCTTAATGCTGAGGATACAAAGAAAAGCAAAAGACAGTTTCTGCCTTCCAGGAGCTTATGGACTAATGGGGGAGAAAACAAGTAAACATTATGTACAAATGAGTTATGTACAAGATGAAAACAAAGTAAGAGGACTATATAAAATAGTGAGTAAAGTGGCTGGATCTAAAATCCTCTGATGAGAGATTTTAAAAAAAAAATCCAAACACCCAATATAGTGATCGGCACCTGATGGGAATTTAATAAATATAAGTGCCTGGCTGGCTGATATTTCTTATTTTTTCTAAAACAACAGTAATAACTTAGATAGAAACCTGATATTCAGGCACATTTTAGGCTTCATGAGGTACTGATATATAATCCTTTAAAGAAACTCTCTAATTGGATCTGACCTCCAAGATATTTGAGCTTCCAGCTCTAAGAATTGCAATCTATTTAAAGCCAATGAGACTACCCTACTTTTGCATATTCATGCTCTTAGAGCTGGGGACTAGATGGCTTGAGTAAAGATTTACCCAATAAAATCTTGTCATTTCTTGGCGGTTGCCAACACTCAGGATTCTAGGCCACCATTATGTGATTGCAAGTCATTTAATACATAGGATTCAAAGATTTGTAATATTTAGAACTGGAAAAGATTTTAGAGGTCATCTAGTTCAATTCCCTCATTTTGCAGATGAGGAAACTCAGGTTGAATGACTTGTCCAAGGTCATATAGGTAGCGAACAGAACAGAATTTTAACGTCAGTCCTCTGATTACAAAAGCAGGACTGCCTTTATTATGCTACTTGCCATCTACTATACAGTAAATTTCTTTTGAAGTACTCCATTTGCTTTGGCAAGTATTTCTATTACCTACCCAACACTTATGTGAGATGCATACAGAAAAGCAGTATTATCCATATTTTGCCCCTGGGGAAACTGAGGCTGAAAGGGCTTATCAGATGATAGAATCTCATAGATTTGAGCTGGAAGGGGCATTAGAATGCCTCTAGCCTAAAACTCTCATTCTACAGACGGGCAACTGAAATGTGTAAGATTAAGTGATTTGCCCAAAGTTATAAGTAGCATGTCCAGGACTCAAATCTAGATTCCATGACTCCAAATCCAGCATTTCTCCCACTGTCAACTACAGAGCCAGATTGATTAGTACTATTTTGTAGTTCTATAGGATTTTTCTACAAAGGAAAATTGATCAAG